CATCTTCAACATGTGGTTAATAACATTCACGTCTCACAAACCTTACAGGGTAGTTGGGAATATTAAAGGAGATACTCTAGAAAGGCTTAGCACAGTTTCTGAAACTTGAATTGTCAGTAAAAGTAAAATGTTATTGCGAGTAACCTAGTGCCCAACCCAATCAGGCGCTGACACAGAGAAAGGACTGGGCTCTGTTGAACAATGGCAGAAAGGAGGGAACCAGGAGAGTGGGTCCAACAGGCAGGCCATCGAGGGCTGTCAAGCGGTTGCACAACCGCTGGGGAAGGGTGCCTGCTACGAAATTTCCAGTACACAAACTCAGTGCAAGAAACGTAACTTCATTTTCTGTAACTGATGTTAATTCTATTTTCAGCTCCATGTTAGAGTGTTGGACACAACAAATATTCCTCTTTTTCTTAGGGTGGACGTCTCAGATTGAGAGGTCTCACATGCTATGCGGCATCAGAGAGCCGGCTCCCGTGTCTCTACTGGCCCCTGGCGGAGCTGTCCACATGGGCCCTTGTTCATTCAGAAAACACTCATGGGTCACGTAGGCAGTGTAGGCGCTGTCCTGGCGCTGGTTGGAGAAGTATAGACATGGAAGAAACAGACAAAGCTATGGGTTGGGGCTGGGAGACAGAAAAATGGACAAATAGACCGCTGTCAGGGTGGCTGTGGAAGACAGGCTCTGAAGGAGAGGAGACGAAGAGTGCCTGGGCAGGAGGGCTGTAGATAGGGCGCTCGGTGGTGTTGAAGCCAAGCCCTGAACAAATTCGAGGAGGAGTCCCGGGTCTGCCCCCTGCCTGGGCAGGGAGGGCTCTGTGAGATAGGCGCTCAGGTGGTGTTGAGCCAAGCCCCGAACAATATCGAGGATGAGTCCGGGTCTGCGCCTTCCTGGGCGCACCCCGGGGCTGGTTGCAGAGGCCTTGAAGTGCAGTGTGAGTCTGGGTGTGGTAGGAACACATGGGGTGCAGTGACTTGCTGCGCATGAGGGCCAAGCGTGGCTGGTGCCTTGCAGGTCACAGAGGAATCGGCCGTTGGTGCTGAGTGAGATGAGCGGTGGGCTGGAGGATCTGAGCAGAGGAGCAGTACCCATGATCTTAGCCGTGTTTTAAAAGGCTCACTCCGACTGCCGCGGGCAGAAGAAACTGTGTAGCAGGGTGAAGGAGGCCAGCTGGGAGGCTAGCACAGAAATCCCAGGGAGAGGTGGGGCAGCTAGTTGGCTAGGTTCCTGTATAAGGATGGTGAGAAACTAAAAGTAGGAGAGTTAACACTCGTGGGACCAATCTCCCTTTTATGCATAAGTATTAGAGACCAGCCCAGGAATTGCTGATGGGTTGAATATGGGGAGGTGGAAAAGTAGGGGTGGGGGGGCGGAGAGAATGAGAATGAACCAAGGCTGCTTTGGCTGCCCTCTTTCAGGTGTGCTGACTCTGCCGGGCTCCCGGCTGGGTGCCAGAATCATCTTGTTGCTTCTGCAAGGCCCCCGGTCACAGGCAGATCTGCGCGGGCTGTCTGCAGTCCCCGGTCACAGCGGCAGATCTGCGCGGGCTGTCTGCAGCCCCGGTCACCGCAGATCTGCGCGGGCTGTCTGTGCCAGCCCCGTCACAGGCAGATTGCGCGGGCTGTCTGCAGCCCCGGGGTCACCGGCAGATCTTGCCGCGGGGCTGTCTGCGCCCCCGTCACCGGCAGATCTGCGCGGGGCTGTCTGCAGCCCCCGGTCACCGGCAGATCTGCGCGGGGCTGTCTGCAGCCCCCGTCACCGGCAGATCTGCGCAGGCTGTCTGCAGCCCCGGTCCACAGGGCCAGATCTCGCGGGGCTGTCTGCAAGCCCCCGCGTCACGGCAGATCTGCGCACGGGGCTGTCTTGCAGCGCCCGGTCACCGGGCAGATCTGCGCAGGGGCTGTCTGCAGCCCCCGGTCACCGGCAGATCTGCGCAGGGCTGTCTGCAGCCTTTCCCCCAAGACGTGCTGAGCATCGGGTCCTGTGGTTTCTTCCACCTCCCTACCCTGGACTCCCCATGGGACGCTGCAAACCTCTTCAGGGCTTCCCCACCTCTGAGGCTCAGTTTGGAGAAGTCCAAGCTCTCTCTTTAAGACCTCCCCCAAGTATCTTCACTCTCCTCTACTATCCTCTTGCTTCCAGCCTGGAGAAATCTTTCTGATTCAAGGGCAGGCAAGCTACACAGCAAGGGGGTGCTTATCGCACAGCCTCATGCCTGGGCCTGAGGAGCTTGCCCGCCCCCAAGGGTTCAGGCTTTGGTCGGCAGTGAGGAGCCGGGAAGAAGCAGGCCCCTTTCCTCTGCTTCAGGCTCCAGAGCAGGCCGCGGGGCCGCCGGGGGTGAGGGCAGGGCGCGAGGCGTGGGGCAGGGTCCCACTTGCAATCTCCAAGGCTGATCCTACTCCAAAAGTAAAAGGAGGAGTTTGTTTTGGATCTGAAAGATAAAAACAGGTTCTTTTAAAACAGCTTTATCGAGGGGTCAAGTTGATAAAGAATTGCGCATATTTAATGTGTATGATTTGATGAGTTTGGACATCTTCAAATACCTGTGATATCGTCACCACCATCAGCACTTCCTAGAGGTTTCGCGTGTACCTTGGTTTCGGTTTACTTGTTTTTGTTGTGTTGCAGTAAGAACACTTGACATAAGACCTACCTCTAAAATTTTGAAGTGCTCAATACCGTACCGTTAACCACAGGCGTGGTGCTGGACACAGCTCTCTGGAACCTTCTCACCCAGCATAAACGAACTTTACACCCACGGAGCCATCCCCACTGCCCTCTCCCCGCAGCCCCTGGTGAACTCCGTGGTATTCTCCATTTCTGTGGGTTTGACCATCGCAGATGCGTCACACAAGTGGGATCATGCGGTATTTGTCCTTCTGTGTCCTGCTGGCTTCACTCAACACGATGTCCTCCAGGTTCATCCTGTTGCTGCAAATGGCAGGGTCTCCTTTATCATGGCTGCACCCCGTTCTGTGGTGTTTATATACCACATTCTTCTTATCATTCCTCGGATGCTCGGCCCTCCTTTCGGTCCCAAGGCCATCGTCCTTGTAATTCCCTCTCCAGGCAAGTGGCCCCACAAAGTGCAGATGGAGCCTTCCCGCATGCCCCGCTGGGGAGAGAGATGAGTCTGGTGAGAGGGCAGCCTGCCTGCTCCACAGTGGCCCTACGCCCCCACCTTCACGACTCCCGCCCTCTGTCAATCCTGTTCTGCTGGGTGGGGACAGCCCTGTTTCAGGGCTATGATGTGGGACACAGGTATGAGACTGCTCTGCCTTTCTGTACTGATTGTTATTCTCAACAAACTTTGATGGAGTAAACATTAGGTATCAGGAGCTATGCTTGGAGACACAATACAGACGTCGCTGCAGAGTGACAAGATCACACTCATCCATCCATTTTGCAAGCATTTATTGGGTGCCCATGCAGTGCCCAGTGATGCACAAATGGCCAAAGCCGCGCCACCTGGGGCGCCCAGGCGAGCTGTGTCTCTCGATGGCTGTGTTAGGCTTGGTCTTCACTTACTCGTGTGACCCTGTGTGAATAATTCTACCTCTGACTCTCAGTTTTCTCATCTGTAAAATGGGGATGATGGTTTGTCACAATTCAACAGTCTTGCACAGAAGTTACCCAGAGTAATAAATAGCTCCCTCTTGGGTGCTCCATGCCTGAGCTTTTCCTCTCCCTTTAAGAGCTCAGATTGCTCTGGAATTCTCATTTTGAAGCCAAGGTTTGCCAACAATTGATGCCAAAAAAGAGGGAGAAAAGCAGGTCAGAGCTCTGGCCTCTACAATCACACTTTATATACACAAAAAGAAAAATAGTGCCTGAATCCAGGAATGGGGAAGGATTTTTTTAAAAAATCTTCTAAGTTAACATAATTAGCATGGAAGAAAAAGGGTGACTTGTTCTCTTTACTATCAACATTTAGACAAGACTCACCTTGGCAATGAGAAAGAATCCCATGGAGACTGAGCTACCAGGCAGCAGGGTTCTGTCCCCACGACTCTCTTCTCTTCCCCTCCTTCCTATACTTGTCCCCCTTGGGTTTTCTCAGAGCCGGGTGACATAATGTAAGGCACTTGGGTTTTTATGTCAGAAGGCAATGGATTCGATTCCTCACTTTCCCTTTCCTACGTGGGAAAACCTGGATAGATTTTTCACCTTCTCTGAGCCTCAGTTTCTTTATCTGTAAAACAGGGATGAGAACGCCCACCCCATGGACTGAGTGATGCAATGAATATAAGACATCTGACACACAGTAGGTACCCACAGGTGGTCGGTCCGTCCTTTTCTTCCTTGGGAATCGGGCCTGTGCTAATACTGTAAAGCAGTCAAGTTTTTCATTTAAAAATCTCTCGGGTCCTCTGGGCCACTTGTTTCTCACTTCATTCTCACCTTGACTCCAGAAACTCTCATTCCTGCCTCCTCATTTCTGGGTCTCCTTAGCTGCCCGCAGGGCCATTTGGGCGGCCCTGCCCCATTCAGGAGGCCCCACCTTCTCCTGGCCCCGGCTCCTCCCTGGTCTCCTGCTCCCCTTCTTTTCCCCTCTCTCCTCCTCACTGCACCAAAGTGGTTTGACCCCACCATGCTCCTGCCCAGAAGGTCTTAGAGCTTCCCACTACAAGGCCCACTCATCCTGACCTCATATTTTGGGATCGGCCCTGCCAGCAGATTCCTGGTGGCCCCTATGCTCCAGCCATAATGAACGACACATCCAGCTGCAAATACATCTCACGATTCGACACTCTGCTTCCCTGCACGCACAGCTTCCTCGCCCACCTGGCTGACTCCTACTCAGCCCTCAAAGCCCCACTCAAGTCTTCCCCCAGGGAAACCTTGGCCACCTCTGAAGCAGAGTTCCTCCTCCTCCTCGTCTGTCTCTATTATTCCTTATTCACCTGCTCCCAGGGCGCTAATCTTACGGAATCGATACCATCTGTGTGCTTGTGTATTGTTCCACACTCGACAGAAGTTCTCTGGCTACAGAAACTGCATTTGATATAATTTATTTGCAAATTAATTCAACAGATATATTCAGCGTCTCATATACCAGGCCCCAGCTGGCACTGGGAACTCAGTGGGGAATGAGGCAGACAAGGTCCCTGCTGGGGAGGTGCTCACGTTCTAGCAGGAGAGTCCTGATAGGTAAACAAACAGATCAATGAGAAAAGACCTGTTGGTGATGAGCCCTGCAGAAAGAAATAAACCAGCAGGAGACAGCGGTGGGGTGTGTTGGGTGGTCTGGGAAGGTCTGTCTGTATCTGCCACAGAAAGCACTGGAATGCTTGTTGACAGAAAGGAGGATGGGGGAGGAGTGACAGGTGCACAGCCCTCTCTTTGGTGCATGTGTCCTTGTGCCTGGTGGCAAGGTCATTGGTGAGTTCAGCCTTGGGCCATCCTTTGCAGAATGACAGTTTTCAGATTGGATCCGAGTCCTAACGAAGCTGGCAAGTGCTTATCTTTGTCACGACAACCTCCGCGATTTCCCTGCAGGTGGGGAGACCTGGTGAGTAGGAGCTACAAGGGAGCAATGTGGGTTCAACATCAGGGAGAGTTCCAGGACAATTAGTGCTCCGTGACAGTGACATCCCCATAACAATGGTAATTATGGCCAAATAACAACCACCCTCCCTTTTGTCGCCTCACCTTTTGCGGTTTCAAAAGTATACCCGTAGCCGATACTGCGTTCGACCCTCTCTGCCTTCCTGGAGCTTAGAGCCCCAGCTGTGGAGAGGGCTGGAACGCATGAAGCCGCTGGTCCAGGGTGGCACAGCTGAACCGACTACCCAACCCAGGGCTCTAATTCCAGAACCCGGGTTCCAGAAGGGGCAGTCTCGAGAGGCAGTAAACTCTCTCTTGGTAGCATCCCCTCGGCAAGGAGCCAGGGAGCTGAGTGGGAGACAGGACGGGCAGCCTCTGTTGTCCCTCCGGGCTCTGGGCTCCTCATTGTCAGACCGTGAGGACAGGACACTTCCCGGTGGGTGGGGCCCTGTCTCCCTCCCTGCCAGGCGAGAGCCCGACAGCGAGCCCCCCGCTTTGCCTCGTTCTCCCCGAGGGGCTGCTCAGGCCTTCTTGCTGGGCTGCACGAAGGTTCGTGAAGCTGGCCCGCACTTTGGCACATGAACAATCGGCGTGCTCTGCCTCACGCAGATGCCTGAGCCCTTCCCCGCGTTCTGTTGTCCCTGCACGGGTAGGACCTAGGGCCGGGGGCAGAGGGCTGGCAAAGATGGAGTTTTGCTAACCCTTTGAGGGTCCCTCTTTGTTTCCCAGGCACAGACAGCCCCTCCTGGGGTGTCTCCTGGGTGGAGAGGGAGGCTGGGACTGGCCAAACAGATGTGCTCAAGGACGGTGCTGATGGCCGCGTTCTACGTTGAAGTCGGGAGCCACGGGCAGCCGCCTCTTTCAGGCCACGGGCCTCTGTGACCCCTCGGTGAGGTGAGCACCAGAGTCACCAGGAGGGGATGTTAAGGTGCTCCACTCCCTCCAGAGCCTTCGGTCTTGCTCAGCTCTGCAGGACGGGGGAAGCGGGGAGGCAGAGGGTGTGCGGTCAGGGAGACGGCCCGTGCCCGGCCTGTGCTAGCACCCGCCGCACAGGGCCGCTGGCTTTGCCATGCTCCAGAGGCCCGAGCCCTGCCGTGCAGGCAGGAGGGCGCTCAAAAGCTGTGGCCTCTCCAAAAGCCGGTGCGTCCAACTTGAGGGCAGGCTTTCAGTTCCCGCTGCAGTCAGCACTTGCTCTTCTGGAGTCCCCCGGCTGCAGGTAAGGGAGGCGTCTGCTCTCAAAGTTCCTCTTAGCAGCGGCTGTGAGGTCAGACAGTGTCCTGGCTCCACCGCTCACTCACTGGGGGGCTGCCCTTTGCTCTCCAGTTGTCTCGTCTGTCACGGGATCCAATATTCCCACACGCCAGGAGTCGTAGCTGTAAAGCACTCAGAGTCAGAGCTCGGTATGTGCTCGCGGCTCCTAATATTCTTATTGCTGTTATTGTCGTTAGGGAAAGCATCACTGTCTTGGCAAGGTCTCAGAATCCTTGGGCTGGAATTCCGCCTCAAAGAAGTAGTGACAATGGCGTTCAGCGGGCACAGCAGACGGGCTTCTGGTGGCAGGTGCAATAAGCTGGGAACACCTGCTTGGACAGGGGACGGCCCTTGATTTTGGTCTTACTTGGAGTCTTTAGAAATGAGAAAGAAATAATAGCAAAAAATAAAGCTTAATATTTACTGAGTGTTCAGTATGGACCAGGCACCGTGCCTATTATTGGGCACTTCCTAATTATTAATTCCTTTCATCTTTTCAGCCGTATACACACATTCTTAACCCCATTTTATGGATGAGGAAGTGTAGGCACAGAGAGGTCAAGCCACCTACTCTAGGACACTGCTCAGTCACCTACTGCCGGGTAACAACATTGCCCCGCAACTGAGCAGCTTGCCACAGCAAACGCTTGTGGTCTCACACTTCCTGCAGGGCGGGGATCTGGGCGCGGAGTCGCTGGCTGGTTCTGGGCCAGGTCTCCCGCGAGGCTGCAGCGGATGTTGGCTGGTGCTGCAGGCGGCTGCGGGCTTGGGGGGCTGGCATCCCCTTCCAGGACTGCTCAGTCCCGTGGCTGCTGGCAAGGGCCTTGTCCCGCCACGGGGCTTCTCCTCTGCTAGCTTCGGCACCCTCCTCACGTGGCAGCTGTCTTTCTCTAGAGCCAGGGACCCAAGGCGGAGAGAAGAAACACGGCCAGAATGCCTCTGACAACCTAGTCTCTGAAGTCACATGCTGTCATGTCCACATTATTCTGTTGGTTAGAAGGGAATCACTAAGTCCAGCCTACACTCAAGGACAGGAGAATTAAATTCCAACTTTTGAAGTGAGTGTCAAAGAACACATGGCCATATTTAAAAACTCTGCAGTCGTGGAACCAGTAAGCTGCCTCCCTGGGATTCAGACCTAAGCCATCCCGTTGCAGAAGCCTGGGGTCCCACTCCTGCCTTTACAGGCCACCTGACCCCCTCAGGACTGACATGACAATGCGGGTCAGTCTCCCAGTGCAGCGAGGCATCCTCTGAGGGTGACCGGGGTGTCCAGAATCAAAGACGAGCTATACCTGGCTGGAACTTAGGATGTGTTTTCATTGCAAAACTGGCAGGTCAGAGAGGGGCTCAGTTGCTAAGGTGACCAACTGTCCTCAGTGGCTGGCACTGTGCATATCGTCAGGGAGCAGCGTGGAGCTCAGGCGCTCGGAGTGTCAGGAGTGAAGGGCATGGGTCTGTGTGTGTGTGTGTGTGTGTGTGTGTGTGTGTTGTGGGCACACAGTTGTGGGGGCTGGGTTTGCCTGGGAGGCCTGGTAAAGAGTAGGGGCTTCAGACTCCGGGTGGGGTGGCACCATGATAAGCATTCAAGCAAAGGATGGCCAAGGTCAGATGGAAGCTTTGGAAGAGCTGGGGGGGGGGGCGCTGAGGGCTGAGTGCCAGGCGACGGGTGCACAGGGTGGGAGCCCGTGGCCAGGCTTGCTCCCGACGGTGGGGAGGAGGTGCGAGAAGATGACCAGGATTGGGATTTGGAGACTGATTCACCGTGTGGCTGATGAGGAAGAGAAATGTCCAGGGTGACACCTGCTTTATTAGGTGTGGGTGAAGGGTAGGTGCCGGTGCCCTCACTGGGAAGAGGGCCTGGAAGGAAGAGGAGCAGGCTGGGGCGGATGAAGACCCCAGCTCTGACCACCATGGGTGAGCTGCCCAGGTGTCACCCAGGGGCCAGGCTGGGGTGCTGGGCTGCTCGTGCCAGGGCCAGGCGTGGGGTCTGGGAGGTACAGTGAGATGAGCAAGGTCTTTGAAGGCAGGTGGACTTAAACTTTGAATGTGAATCCCCTCCCAGCCTCATTGTCCTCGGCTGTAAGCTGGGGACACGCACTGTTCTGGACACTATGAACGTATAATGTATGCTTTCGGTGGGCATACAGTGGCACCCATATCAACTCTCAGTCCTCCTTATACCAAATGGCCCAGGGTATTGTGAGGGATGTGGGCCCCACTGGGGAAGCAGAGGAAGCTAGAATGGGGGGCTGCCCCCACAAGCTAGATCTGGGTGTATCTGATTCCTGCCAAAAACAAGGCCCTGCTCCCACCAGTTTCCGGAGGCTGGCTGTGCCTCATTTCCGCTGCCTTTGTCGTGCCTGGTGCCTGCTGCAGCCTGGCCCTGCGATGACACCGATGCTGATGCTGTTGCTAGGCAACCGAGCTCCAGCACAAACCCTCTGAGGCCTCCGTTCCACTCCCCCTCAACCCAGAGCTGCTGACGGGGCTTGGCTTGGAGCTGGCTGTGAAAATGGGGAGGGGCCCTAGTGCAAGCCCAGGGTACGGTGGGCAAGGGGTGCGCATGCGTGTGTCGGGGACAAAAAGGCACAAGAATAACAGCTTCCATGTACTGAGTGCTGTTCTGTGCCAGCCACTGGACATGGAGTAACTCATTTCAGTCTTTATAGCCACCCAAGGCGCATGTTCGAAACCACCCCCGTTTTACAGATGAGAAACTCAAGACTACGGGAGGGGCAGGGCTCATCCAGTTCCACCTAGATAGGAAGCGGTGGTGCTGAGGTGACACCTGGCTCTGTCCATTTCCAGGGCTCCAGAGAGGAAGGAGCTCAGCTTTCATCTCCTCCTGGCTTCATCCATGGTCTGCCGTGTTCTCTGCAAAGCAACCAGAAGGGTGTTTGAAAGCCACGAGTGAGATCTTGCTGCGCTCCCGCCACAGCCCACCATGGCTGCCCGGCGCCCTCAGGACACAGTGCACACTCCCCAGTGAAGCGGTCCCGCCCGGGCGGCCCGGTGCTGCCGTGCCCCCCGAGAGCGTCACGCGCCCCCTCCATATTCTCGCCCCTCCTTTTCGTGTCTTCTCCCTTTCTCCAAGTCTCATGCTCTTGCTCGCCTCAAAGCAGGCGACTCAGTCACCTGGACCTTGGTGGTTTCGGCTCAGACACCCTCCTCCCGCAGCTTCCCCGAGGCTGTGTGGGGCCTTTCTGCCCCCAGGTGGCCTCATCCACTCCCCACCCCTTGGCGTGGAGATTCCACGTCCTGGTCACCGTTTCATCTACCCCAACACCAAAGGAATGAGCGTCTGGGAGTGGATGCTGGGATTTGTGGCTGACCCTCCTAGGGTCTTTGGTCTCACGTTGACCTTGGAGAAACAGTGCGTTCATATTTAATCTGTCTCTGTTTGCAGCCAGACATGAGCTGTGGACTAGTGCACGTCACCCCGAAAACACCCGCGCCTCACAAATAGCCCATTCGGCAGGTGAGGGACCTGAGGCTCAGAGACGGGAAGTGACTTGCCCAAGGTGGCACAGCTTGTGATTCTTGGTGCCAGGATCCAAGCCCAGGAGTCTCTCTGGTTCCATGGCTCTGCCACGAAGCCCCAGGTATCTCTGAAGGGCACTTGAAATGAAACCGCAGAGAAATAAGAGCCCTGACATTTCCATATTTCCAGTGTTCGCAGACACCTTCAGTTTGGAGACAACACCTGCCAGAGAATGAAAAGGCCAAATGTGGGTGGGGGCGGGGCACGTGGAGAAGAGCAGGGAGGAAGCGGAGAGCAGCTGCAGCCCCGCTCGGTGTCCGTCCGGCCAGCCCAGCACACCAGGAGTGTCCTCCTGTCCCCACCACGCTCAGCAGGACCTGCCCCCAAACCGGCCGCAGCTGAAAGGTATAGTTCATCCTAGATCAAGGGCTGGCACTGCTGCCTCGTCTCTGTGCCCCCAGCACCCAGCGCCCAGCCCTGCACCCCAGGCCAAGAAGTGCCCCCCTGGGCTGTAGCAGCTCTTCTCAGAAAGTGGACGGGAGACATCTCCCCCGTGCCCTTCCCACACGCACGGTCGCCAAGGCCTGTAAATTGCGTCCTCGGTTAACCCCAGCCCCTCGCGGCCTGCGGTCCCCCTGCTCCGTCCACCTCCAAGCTCTTCCCAGCGCCTGCTGCAGGAGAGCCGCTGGGGGCGTGAGGAGGACCGCTGGGGGCGTGAGGAGGACCGATAGTTCTTTCTGGGCTGGGGCAAGAGGGCTGCCCAAGGAGTTGTCACCAGGCCCCAAAGGAGCTGCTGACCGAGGGCCCCAGGAAGTTTTGGAGCCTGCTCCGAGGCTCCGGAAGGGCGGTTTCCTGATACATCTTTAAACTGGGCAGACCCCATTCCAAGCATCATCTGTCCCAGCCCAGTGCCCGTCTGGCCAGCCAGGGATGGCGCAGCCTGGGCAGGGCTTGCCAGGCTCAGGCAGGTGAGGGGCGCCCCGATTTCCACGTCATTACAGAGGGTGGAGTCATAGATTCCCCGTCCGGTCAGGGCGAGGGTTAAGTGGGTCCTGGCTGACTTCACCCTGCCTAGGGGAGGAGAGCAGGGCGGGCATGAAGCGAGGGCTCAGGACTGGGCGTGCGCGTCCCAGGGCTCGCCCCACCGCGGGGTGGGGTGGGGAGGCTTGGGATCCCCACTGCGAGGCTCGAATCCCCTCCATCACTGACTAGTGGGGCCGCGAGTGACTTGATTACCCTCCGTAGCCAGGAGCACACAGCAAATGGTCAAATATGTTTGTCGCGTGGAGAACACACACGAGCTTGCCCGCAGTCGGGGACGTCTCGGGGCCGAGGGCGTCAGCACCGTCCCCGCACAGCCCGGCCCAGCGCCCCGCCTTGCGGGAGCGGAACACGACCTTTGGGCCCAGTGTCCTTAGCTGTGGAAGGGCGTGATGACAGCAGCAGCACCCGCCTCCGAGGACTGCAGTGAGGGCGAAACGAGAGATCCGCGCCCAGCGCCCCCGCCGCAAGGAGACGACGGTGCACGCCCTTCTCGCCCGCCTGGCCGCGCCCGAGGTCGCCGACCGCTGCCGTGCCGCGCCTTCAGCCAGCTTCTGGGGACCCGGGAGTGCCCTCACAGATGGCCCGGACCCTTTCTGTGTCGGGAAGGACAGAGCGCGACTCCTGGTGCACGGGTCCATGTGTGGACAGTCCGATGGCTTCCGAGCCCGCCGACTGCAGGGGCTTCCACCGAGTCGCGCTGGCCCGGCCACGCTGGGCAGGTTCCTGGCCGTCAGGTGACACCACGGACAGGGGGACGCACACGCCTCACACGCGGGGGGCCGTGAGGGACAGAGCACTGCGAGATCATGCACTGACTGGTAGGCTCCGCACCTGATCTTACTTCATTCCCAACATCCTGCGGGCGCTGCTATAATTAGCTCTGTTCTCGCAGTCGTGGAGCCGAGGCTGCCCGGGGAAGGTGCCTGCCTGAGTTCACACAGGGCTAGGGGTAAGGAGGGCTCGCGCGTCTCTGTGGCTTCCGAGTGGAGGGCTCATTCACCCGCGTGGCCCGGCATCCACCTGTCGCTCAGCCCTCCCCGCTCACCCAACATTGACCGAAGGCACCGGGGTGCCTGCGAGGCCTGGTGGCGGCCCTGCCTCCCTCCCACCTCCTCCCCTCCCGCTCCCTCCGCTAAAGCTGCCCGACTGCCTTCCAGTTTCTCTTCAGTTCCTGCCTCTGGGACCTCACGTAGGCGGTTCTATCTGCCAGAAGCACCGGCACCTGGCTGGTGCCCTCCTGTATTTCAGATTCCAGCTTAAATGTCCTCTCTCGTAAGGGCCCCTCTAACTACCCCTTTTAAAGGGAATTCATTATTTTTATGAATAATGAATCAGGTTAATTTCCTTCCTAGCCATTGGCACAGCAATAATTAAATTTAGTAATTTATTATTCAGTAATGACAGTAACAGCCCACGCATACTGAGTTCTTACGTGGTTCTATGATTCCATGTAATCCCCATGACACCCCAGTAGTTGTTATCACATCCATTTTACAGAGCAAGAAACTGAGTCTCTGAGAGCTTATGCTTATTCATTTACCAGATTATTATCTTTCTTTCAGGCTATCCTGTAATCTTCATGGAGGCACATTGACCAGCCCATAATAGATGCACGTTACATCTTTGTTGAAAGAATGACTTCCAGGCTCTGCGCCGAGTATTGCAGAATTAGACATGGCACGCTTGGGAAGACAGACAGTGACCTCAGGGCCACGCGGGCAGGGCTGTAAAGGCCCCGTATGTCCACGGAGTCCAGAGGAGGAAGGAGCCATCATGCCTAGAGAGACTCTGGAGGGCTTCACAGGGAGACAAAATCTGAGCTGGCTTTTTTGAAACCAACTTTATTGAGGTATGATTTATGTACAAGAAATTGCATTCATTTAAAATATAAAATTCAATGAACTTTGACAGAAGTATATGCCCATGAAACCAATGTCACAATCAGTAACAAGAATTATTTTCGTATCTCCAAAATTGTTTCTCATACCCTTTGATACTCCCTGACTCCTTCACCTACCCAACAGTCCCAGGCTGCTGCTGATTTAATTTGCATTACTATACATTAATTTGCCTTTCCTTGACTTTTATATAAGTGGACTCATGCAGAATGTGTATGGCTACTTTCAGGCAGCATACTGATATTTTTTAAAATAAGGTATGATATACATACAGTAAAATTTATCCCTTTTAGTATACAGTTCTACAAGCTTTGACAAATGTATAGATTTGTATAATTATCGTCGCAGTCCAGATGTAGGACAGTTCCATTCACCACCCCTCAAATCCCCTCATGCCTCCTGTAAGCAATGCTCCCCCACCCTCCACCCTGGAAACTGTGGGTCTGTTTTCTGTCTCTGTACTTTCATGTTTTCCAGGATACTGTATAAATGGAATTATACAGCATATAGCCTTATGAGCCTGGCCTTTTTTTTTTTTTTATTTCGGCATATTATGGGGGTGAGCCTGGCTTCTTTCACTTATGGTGAATGTTAGATTTATCTATGCTGTGGAATCTCAACCGTATGTCAACAGTTAGTTCCTTTTCATTGCTGAGTAGTATTCCATTGCATGGATGATCCAGAATTTGCTCATTTAGCAGTTGAAGAATATATAGAGTTGTATCTAGATTTTGTTGATGGCAAATAAAGCCACCATAAATGCTTTTATATATATTTCATTTCTCTTGGGAAAATACCTGGGGATGGATTGGCTGGGTCCTATAAGTATATATTTAACTTTATAAAAAACAGCCAAACTGTTTTCCACAGTGACTGAACCATTTCACATTCTTAGTAGTCATGTATGAGAGCTCCAGTTGCTCTGCATTCTCACCAACATTAAGTACTGTAAGTTTAAGGGTTTTTTTAGTGTTATCCATACTTATAGGTATGATGAGCTATCTCGTGGCTTTAATTTGCATGCTCTCATGTGTTTATTTGCCAATTGTATATCTTCTTTGCTAAAATGTCTGTTCAAATATTTTGTCTATTTTTTCTTGAATTTTTTGTTTTCTTATTGAGTTTTTGAAGTTCTTTATGTATTTGGATACAAGTCCTTTGTCAGATATGTAATTTGCAAATAATTTCTTTCAGTCTGTGGCTTGTCTTTTAATTTTTTTAACAGGGCCTTTTAAAGAACAAAAGTATCTATCTTTAAATATTATATTGCTCAATATCATATTCTTGCAATGAAAGGAACGTACAATGGTGTACTGCCAATTCTTCTCCCCCATCTTTTGTGCTATTATTGCAATATACTCTTGCTGCTGTCGTTAGTTATCATTTGATGCAGTTAAAAAGAAAAAATGATTTTTATATTTAACTTTTTTCTACTTTTGATGTTCATTTTGTGTTGTTTTGTTGTAGCTTTAAGTTTCTGTCTGGTATCATATTCCTTCTGTCTGATGAAGTTATTTTAACAACTTTTGTAGTGCAGGTCATCTGGCAGTGAGTTCTCTCTGTTTCTGTATATCTGAAAAACTTTATTTCTCTTTCATTTTGAAAAATATCTTTGCTGGGTATAAAATCCTGTGTTGGCACCATTTTCTCAGCACTTTAAACATGTCACTCCATTGTCTTATGGATTGCATAGTTTCTAATGAGAAATCTGCAGTATATTTATCCTTTTCATTTGTATATAATATTTCCTTTTCCCCATCTTCAAGATATTGTCTTTATCTTAAGTTTTTAGAAGTTTGAATGATATGCCCAATGTCTAAAAGTGATGAGTTTAAGAAAAGTTTTTATTTTTTCAGATTGACTAGTATTTTGTTATTTTTGTAAAGATGAGAGTAAGTAAAGTTTACAGCTTTTTATATCCTAAACTAGAGCTAGAAGTCCACCATTATCCAGCTAGTGTATTTTAAATTTCAGATTTTGCATTTTTCAGGCCTGGATTTTCCATTTGGTAGAGACAAACGCACACACACATACACATTCTATTTCTCTGATGATATTTTCTATCTTTTTATTTATTAGCATGTTTTTTTTTTTTACTCATTGAGCACAATTAGAATTTTTTTCTAGTAGTTCCAACCTCAGAGTCATCTTGTGGTTTACTGCTGTTGATTTTCACTTCCCCTTGAAAATGGCTAACATTTTCACATGTTGAGTTATTTTGATTTTATCCTGAACATTTTGATTATTATGTTGTGGAAACTCTGGGTTTCTCTTATATTCCTCCCCAAAATGTTGTTTTTATTTTAGCAGACAGTTAAGATTCCAACTGTTATCTCTGCCTTGCCTGTGGTTGGTGGTAGTTCATTTTGCAGGACAACATTTAATACTTATTCAGGCTATACCGAGCATGTACCACGCATGCTTGGTTCAGGGGTTGCCCTGAACCTTACTTGGGAAAAGTTTACACGACTTTGACCTGGGGCTGCCCTTCTCTGGATCTCTCCCTTTCTGGATCCTGCCCTCCTCACTTTCCAGTGGCTGTGGCCACCCTTCTTTCTCAGAAAGGTGGTGGGTTTCTGCCAGAGCTTCAGTTACCTCACTCCACTCTAAGAGCTCAGCCTCCCCTGAGGCCAAAGCTGCAAAACTTGGGAACTCACCCAAT